TTATATATTGGGTTGCATATATTATTTGTTCGTTGTTTTGTTATGTAAAGTGCCCTTATGTTTTACCTTTACCTTTTGCCTTGAAAGAGTAAACTTTGTTTATTATTTTCCTATGATTTTGGTTTTCTGGTTTTACAACTTCTATACATCTAATCTAAAGTAGACCTTGGGAAATCTTATTGCATTCCAACTTTAACAACCTGGTCTTAGGATGTAACAATGGGTATTTTCTTAATCTGAATAATACAAAGTTCAATATGTTCTATACAGCAGTTAGTTGCATCTTTTACTATCTATGATGACTCTTACTTGTTGTATGATAGATTGTCATTATGGCATACGTCATCTATCTCGCAAAAGATGTAGTAGATTAAATAGGGCCATGCAAAGGTCATCGCAATCAGCATTTGCTAGGTATATAAATCCATCAAACTTATATTAATTAATACAACTAGCATCGTGTCTCAGAAATAAAATTGACAATAATTTACACACAGCCCATCTTTACCAGACTATTAGTGTACAGATATACAGCCTTGACAAAGTTGTACGTCAAAGAGAAAGAAATGTATACAGGAACTAGCTACATCACAGCAGATTAGGTACACAATGTTAATTGCTTAAGGCATTTTTATCTTTACCTCTGCTGTAATGCAAATTTTAATAGCTTTTTTGCAATGGTTGCATGGCTGCTCTCTTAATGACAAGGCCTTATAGCCAGACTCTACTAGACACAGAGTTCCTTAGTGCTTACAATTGGTTTGTAGCCTGGGAATAACATATGAAATTACACTTAATCAATGTCCTTTTTTGTTAATTTGGATGAGTCACATTTAAATAGCTACAATGTTTAGGATTATTGGTTGTTAAGGCTGATATGAATTTCAAGATAACAGAACATGTGTTTTGTGCAATGGATCGGAATCAAGAACAGTTGTCTCTTGTAAGAAAGCTCCTACATAGTGTCATGCAGAAAGTAAATGGCTATAGAAATAATATACATTCTATAATTCCCTATCATGATAGTTAGCAGTTAGCTTATATGTTTGTTTGCCTTTTTGTGCTTTTTTCATATAGATCGACAGCTACCGACATAGACTTTCAGACTTTCTATGCCTTGCTACTGTAATACATGTGGTGCAAAAAAATTTATGTTTGAGTCCTTACATTTTTGTTGTGGGAATGGAGACATTGAAATAGCTGCAAATGAGTATCCTCGTGAACTTGTTTACTTATTCACTTCAAAGGAAGAAGTTGTTGTGCATTTTCAAAAGTGTGCTAGATTATACAATAATCTGATTGCATACAGTTCTCTTGGGGGTCACTTTGATGCAAACAGTTACAAAGGCACTTATGTATTCAAATTGCATGGCCCAATGTATCATTTTGTTCTAGATTTATTGCCTGATGATAGTAGTCCCAAAGACCTACAATTATACTTCCATGATGGACAGCATAAAGCGGAAAATAGGTTGGGTTGTTTTCCTGAAGTAAGAAAGGATGTGATTAGTATCCTTATGCATGTATCACAGCAAAATCCTTATGCTGTGTTTTTCCGGTCTTTAAGAGACAGAGTCATTCATGCAAACACAGGAATTGTTCGTAATCAAAACCCAATACTTGATCAACGTGTTTATAATGCCCCTGTTGTTGATGATGCTGCTGTAATCTGGCCAGAAAATGCTTCATCTAGCCAAAGCTTAGGTCCTCATATATTAGTAACTAGAAGATCTAATGAATGTCACCTAATCTACCATAATTATTGTTGTTATGATCCCCTTCAATATCCTTTGTTATTTCCTTGAGGAGAATATGGTTGGACTCAAGGTCTTAAAAAAAATTCTCATCCAAGTAGGCGATCAATAGATTCGATTCCCGATCCTATAATTTCTTGTGGTGTTCATACTGATTAAGATTTATTAAACCAGGAAGAAACACGTAGACATTTTATACTCTATATGTCTTATTACCTATTTTTTATATGTACCCCACATTGTTTGCAGTTGTGACATATCTTCTGTTTTTTTTTCTTTCTAATACAGGTGTTAAAAGAAAGAATACTAAAGCAGACAAGTTTATTTCTCCTAGGGAATATTATGCTTATAAGCTGCAAATTCGACCTAATAACATGATACTACGAGCAGGTAAATGTCTTCAGTAATACATAGCCGATATGTATGTAAAGATTGAAAATACCAGGCTTGATTACTTTCGAAACAATCAGGAAACAATAAGGGCTGATCTATATAAAGGTATTTTGGATTCACTGGTAAGCCAGATCTTTTTGTAACAATTACATGTAATGTTAATTGGCTAGAAATAAAAGCCGAGCTACCTACTGGTGAGACAGCATAGGACATACCTGATTTAGTTGCTAGAATTTTTAGAGCGAAATTACTTGCACTGAAAAAAAAAATCATGGAATTTTTTTTTTGTTTTGGAGAAGTTGCTGCAATAGTTCCAGAAGAGAGGTTTGCCTTATGCCTATATTTTAATCATTCTAAAACCTGAATACAAGCTGAAGTCACCTGGTGACTATGATAGATTTGTTTGTGCTGAAATACCTCCTGAAACTAATGTCAATTTGACGAGAATCATGTTGGCACATATGATACATGGCCCTTGCGGTATATTGAATCCACAATGTCCACGTATGCGCAAAGATGGACTAAAACAAAGCTGCAAGAATAAGTATCCTAAGCAATTTTGCAATGAGAAAACTAACAATAAAGATGGTTATCCTATTTATCGTTGGAGAGAAACTGGGGAAAAGGTAACCAAAAGGAATGCACAACTAGATAACCAGTGGATTATTCCTTATAATCTTTATCTTTCTTTGCTATTTGACTGTCATTTGAATGTTGTTTCGGGTGTTTTTAGTCCCTCGGGAGAGTTACAATAATGGGTATGAGCGCCTGACTTCTGTACCTGCAAAACCACGAAACTCCGGTTGGGTGGAGTTCCGCCTTTGAAGATCAAGTTAGTATGATTCCGAATGAGTAAGCGTGCGGAAAGTAAAATGGGTGTTTCTCTCTGATTCAGGGAGATTCCGCAATTAATATTGCTCGGGATTTGTGTATGTATTTATGAATGAGTAATAAATGAGGATTTTCCTCTATATTATAGCAGATGAGGATCTGCTCCCCCATTGGGAGTACGATGCCACGTGTCAACATCCAATTGGATCCCGGTGGGCCTCTGGTGAGCTGCCACGTGTCATTATGCTATTGGGCCACGTGGCATTGGGTATTTTTACCCTAATCAAATGTTGAAGTATGTTCGACAATTAAAGTAGTAAAGTACCTATACAAGTATGTATATAAGGGTCATGATAGAATTTCATACAATGTAGTGCCTTCTAACAGTGATTTTGTAGATGAGATTGAGCAATATCAATGGTTGTCTTTACTCGACTTTTCAGGAAGCTTCTCTAAATCTTGGACTTATAGAAGATCGATGATGATGCAGCTAATTCAAAATTGTCTGAAGCGTGTGAGACTCATATGACTGCTTCCTTACGCCGTCTATTTGAAACTGTTCTTATGTTTTGTCAACCAAGTGATCCTGGTGCTCTATGGATTAACTATTACTCTTTTCTTGCTGAAGACTTTTCTCACAAGTTTTCAAATCAGCTGCTCAAAGTGCAACAGCTTACTGTCAAAGCAGTGGAGCAGCACCTTGAAGCCATGGGAAAATCTCTTGTTTTCTTTGGGCTAGACCATTTAAATTCCCAGGTTACTGATGAGTTCAGACATACAAAAAACATTCTAGATGCCCTTGATGCACCAATCCCAGAGGAATGCTTAAGTTGTCATTTTAAGCTTAACTTTGCACACAATGCTGCTTTTGTGTGTATAATGGAACATGTCATGCAGCAAAAAGGTGGAGCTTTTTTTTATTGAAGTCCCTGGAGGTAAAAGAAAAACTTTCCTGTACAATGCTTTATATGTAGAAATACGGCTAGTGAACAAGATTGTTTTACCTAAAGCTACATTAGGAATTGCCGCAGCAAACATTCCTTCGGGTAGAACTTCTCATTCACGATTTAAAATTTCAATAGATAATGAAGCTTCTTTAGCATGTGATGTTCCAAAATAGGGTAGTTCAACAGCATTGTTAAGGGAAACTACATTGGTAATATGGGACGAGGCCACAATGGCTAAGAAGAAAAATCTTAAATCTTTAGATCTTTTGTTATAGGATATATGTGGGAATAAGAAAGGTTATTGTTTTTGGAGGGGATTTCAGACAAGTTTTACTAGCAGTTCCTCGGAAAACTGTGAAGGAAGCCGTAGAAGCAAGCATTATAACTTCTTATCTGTGGCCCAAGTTCATCAAATTTAGGCTGACAGAAAACATTAGAGTAAGAGAAGCTGACAGAAAACATTAGAGTAAGAGAAGATCTTGTGTATTCTACTTTTCTGCTTGATTTAGGCAATGGCAAATTACAGGAAACAGAAAATGCCTTTACCAGAAGAAATTTTACAGTGCACCAACAATTTCACAGAATTAGTGGCTACCGTTACAGAAAAAACATTTCTAGAAATTGTTCATGGCAATTTGATTACCAGGTTTTCACTAGGAAAGCAATTTTGACACCCATGAATGACGATGTGGATTCTATTAACACATTCATGATTGAGAAATTTTCTAGACAAGCTGTTACATATAAGAGTTTGGATGCCATTCTAAATGATACATGTAGTATATATCCTATAGAATTTATCAACAAACTATGTCCCGGTGGAATGAGTCTTCATGAGCTTGTCTTGAAGGAAAATTTTCCTGTTATAAGAAATTTGCTCCCTTGTTCAGGTTTATGCAATGGCACCAGGCTAATCTATAAGATGTTTTTCCCAAATGTAATTTAGTGTACTATAGCAGTTGACCATAAAGGTGAAGAGGTATTCATACATAGAGTCAACTTAAGACCTTCTAACTCTATCAACTATCCATTTATGTTTGAAAGGAAATAGTTCGCTATAAAGTTAAGCTTTGCAATGACAAGTAACAAGTCTCAAGGACAAACTCTTATCCAAGTATCCATTCATCTTCCACGACCATGCTTTACATATGGACAACTTTATGTTGCGTTATCACGAGCCAAGAAATCAAAAGATGTTTGTGTTCTTACAGCAAATGCTACGAACCAGTCTGCAAATGTTTTTAAGAGCAGTGTAGCAATGACAATTAACAAGTCTCAAGGACAAACTCTTAGCCAAGTATCCATTCATCTTCCACGATCATGCTTTACACATGGACAACTTTATGTTGCGTTATCACGAGCCAAGAAATCAAAAGATGTTTGTGTTTTTACAACAAATGCTACAAATCGGTCTGCAAATGTTGTTAAGAGCAGTGTAGCTAATCTGTAAACTTGCTAAAGCCTAAGGCAAATGGATAAAAGCTGTTGTTAGTGTCTTATGAGCTTTTACGTCTAGCATGTATTATTGAAAATGATATAGAGTAGTGTAGCTAATCTGTTAACTTGCTAAAGCCTAATGCAAATGGATAAAAGCTATTGTTAGTAAATATTTATAGGTAGGCTAGGGTCTAACATTATGCATTTTTCAAAATTAATACAACACTTGATATTAGTAAAAGTTGTGTTTGATTTCATGCAGGTTGCACAGGGTTCAGATGAAGCATCTGATTTACACCAGAACAATGTAAGTATACCACTTTAGTATTATTGAATGACTGATTTCGTAAAACTGTGATGAACTCTTTGTTAGAGTTGTGCTCTTCTTGGTAAACAGGCTACCAGTTGTTTCTCTTTGTGAAATAAACATTGCATTGTGGTTTAAAACCAGTACTTTGCTACTTCGATTCAGGGATTAAACTAGGTAAACACTTATATAGTGGTTGATAACAGTGACAATTATTAGCTACAATATTTTAATTGCACTTGCTATTTGTTCATGAATTTTTTGACAGTCTAACTTAAGATGTGAAGCTGACATTGCTATTATCAATGTTTAGATTCTTGAAGTTTCCTTTACTAATTCTACATTGTAGTTAGTCAGTAGTTTGGTATTAAGCAATGTAAACCAAAATGGAGTATGATTTTCTAAATTTACTAAGCATAAATTTAAACCCAAGTCTATTGTATAATATTAAGCGCAGGGTTATTCTACTACCTCCTTTACATATTAGTTCCAATTTTGGGATAGTTTATCTTTTACAAATATTACCCAAAGTTGCAACTAATATGTAACAGAAGTAGTAACATATTTTACTGCCCAACAAAAATGTTTCATGTGGATTATCTTGCTTTAGTATTTTGGTTGTGTTTCTTATTAAAGATGAATGGGCTTTGTTAAGTCTAGCCCACATAAATAGCAGCAACATTTATATTTTTGAATGATGAAATCACATTTGCTAAGTTTTTAATAGTAATGCACCTCACTTTTAGGAAAAAGCTACAAAGTGCAAGTTAAAGATAGTATTCATAGTAAACTCTTCATTTAAAAATGTTAGTTGTACTTTACTACTACTTTAACCACAATAATTACTTAGTTTTTACTTATTGCATAAGCAAAGAAGTTCTTAGTCACAACTTTTAACCAAGGTGCTTTCTAGTTGTACAAAAACAAGGAAAGAAAGAATAATTCACTGTTCAAAATAGTGAATATCTAAAAAGGTCTAGGTTAACTTATACACATAGACTTTGGCTATAAATACCGAATGAGCTTCTTCTTTTTGAGCATGAATTCATTCTCTGCATTTTATTCTCTTCTAAGGTATATTCTCCTCTTTTTCTGGAAATTCATTTTGTTGGCCTTGCAACAAGAGTTGTTACTATCACTGAAATTCTTAACTATATTTCTATGAATAAACGTTCATCCTAAAAAAACTTTTACTGATATTCTTGTTTTATTTATTTGCTATACAAAACTATTGTATAGAATACTATCCCATTTGCTTTGACTATTATCTATACTTCGGCTGTTTTCCTTTTAAGCTTACACTAAATTCTGAAATCTGTCAATTCATGCATTTATTAAACTATATTTCTGCTGCTGTATGTGCTTTCTTTAGTTGATTTCTTTTAGAGTCCTATTATATGCACTAGAACTCTGCTTGTAAGATATTTATTGAAAGTTTCCTAAAAAAGGTTATGTATTAAAAAAAAAAACCTTCCATATTAAATCCATATAAGATACAACTTCTCTATGTTTGCGTTTTTCCTGATTCTTACATGCAACTGTGTACTATTTGACAATTAAAATCTCTGTTTTAACATATGTTTTTCTACTAGATCTTTAGCTACATTATGTTCTATATCTTAATTAGGTGCACTTGCTTATTACTTTGCATGCCATGTATTATGTTTGTGTTACTAGCTAAGTTTTAATTTATCAATGCCACCTCCAAAAAATGACTTATTTGCTTTTACCACCTACATAATTTAGAGTTTTATTTCACCACCACATAAAAAAATAAACTTAGGTTTTCCCACCAAAACCCAAGTCCAGTGAAGGAAAAGTCATGTGGGCCCCGCCATTTTCTATTTCCCTCAAAATTAAATGCTCCCAAACCCGATTTCCCTCTCTCTCTTCATTTCTTGACCTTCCCTATTCAATTTCTATCACTTTCTCACCTTCCTCCTATTATTTTTTTTGGATTTATCTTCTCTCTAATTACATTTTTCATCTCTGTAAAAATTAAACCCTAATTTCTCACCTAAAAAAATTAAACCCTAAAGTGAACCTTAAAATTACATTAGGGGGTGCACTTATACCTTCATTAGCTGATAAAAATAGGAGGGTGTTAACTTGGGATGGTGGTTGGGTTTATTGGATGAAAAATGTTACTGTCTCTAAGATAGATGTACACTTCTTGAGGGAGGTAGTTGTTCATGGCTTTGTGTATGCTAGTGTGGCTGTGCCTAGGGGCTTTAATTGCTGGTATAAACAGAAGGGAATGTCTTAAGTAACTGGTAAATGGGAGTTGGTTAGTGGTGATGAGGTACAAATGTTATTAGACACAGTCAATAAAGAAGGGGTAATAGAGATGTATGTGACTAGTTATGAGCCTCTTCACGGTAGTGAAAAGACTCCATTTAAAATATTATATGGCAATGAGTTAAATCCAAAAGAAAGGAAGCAACTCAAAAAGGAGTTGGGTGGGACTAGACCACTTAGGACCAGCCTAAGAGTGAGTAAGCCCACTGTAGATTCAGTTAGGAGAAGCCTAAGGTTAAAGGGTATTGTGGTTGAGGAGAAAAATATAGAGGAGAGGAGTCTTAGGGTTAAAATAGTTACAAGGGGAGTGAGTGCAAAAGAAAAAGGAAAGGGAAAGGTAGGTGAGGGAGCTACTGTTAGGTTAAGTGCTCAAGAAAATGATAAGGGGAAAGTAGGTGAGGAGGTTGCTGCTATTAGGTCTGGAGTTACAAAAGCTAGAAAGAAAGGCAGAGGGAAGAAATTGTTGTTTGATGATGAGTTTAAAGATGGGGAGGGACAAACACAGTCCTCAGATTTTGAGTTCAGTCACTTGCCCAACAGGGGTAGACATTGCACGATGGTCGGCGTGCTTGGTCGACTCGAAGGCTAACTCTTAAAAAAAGATTATACCATTTTTACGAGAGGCGGATCACGTTGCTAGTGCAATTTTACCCAGCAAGTATGCCATATAATTTTACGCTGTATGTATGCTAAACAATTTTACGCTGTATGTTACGTGGTATTTTTGTTAAGTAACGACAAAAATGAAAGGAATGGTGTCCTTCAAACAAGTGTATTATTCCGATCGAGTGTTAAAAATAAATTACGGAGTTAATTATTCATTGAATTCAAGTGATCGAAAAGTCAGGCTAGAGACCATATCCAATCAGTAAGATTAGTTATATTAATCTCACAGCTTTTCTTTGACTGAACCCAACGGGTCACACCCAAGCGTGCAACCAAACTAAGGCGAAAGAGGATGCGTACTCCGACGTCGAATTCTGAGCTTAGAGCGTCAAAGTCAAACGTAGAACGTCGAGTCGATTCCAAGAACTAACGAGACGTGCAAATAAGTCAAACAATAGTAAATATAGTCCTAGCCTCGCATTGGCCTAGCCGTGTGAGGGTTGAGCTAACTTGATGCTGCTACAATCCTAGCACTAGCCGTAAGCCCAGCAAGCCAAGTGCGTGGGCTGGCTGGGGCCTGCTGGCCGAGTGCGTGGTGCGTAGGCATCGCAAGCAAGGCCTAACAGCTAACGTAGCTAGCTAGGCCTTTCTAGCATATGCTGCGGCCAGCAAGCAGCAGCAGCAGCCCGCTTTGCGCGTGGGCTTGCGATAGCAGCAGCAGCAGCGCCTAATAGTAGAAGCGGCCCGCAAGTGTGCGAGGCCTGCTGTGCTACGATGGGCCTCGTTGGCCAGCCCATCTGAGAGCACAAGGCTTCCAGCAAAGGTGGGCCTTGGAGCTTAATGCATGGGCCAACTTTGCTGCCTTTTGGTGGCTTGGGGAATAAGGAGGCCATGTGGTCCTCACCTAACCACTCCCACTTGCTTGCCACATGTTGTTTGATTATTTGTTTTAAGCATTTTAGTTTATTTTAGAATTAAAATAAATGCATTTTTTTCTTGATTTTGCAAAGTCCCACATTGATGGAATACCAAGGGGAAGGAGATGTTTCTCCTATAAATACCCATGCTTGCCTTGGGATTTGTATTGCAAGAGTTGAACTATACAAAGGCATCTTCATTGAGTAAACTTGAGAGATCCTCTTGTTAGTGGTTTTGATATTACCTTAGCCGATAATATCGACCAAGTTTTCGGGCACGTGGGTGGAACTCATTGGAGGAGTCATATTTGAGGCTCTAACCCCATTCTTGGGTCCATGTTTGTGCTAGGTGGAAAACACGCTTCAAGGGTATGAACGTCTTTCCCTCCTCTCTCTCTTTCTCTCTCATGTGTTTATTGTTTTATTAATTATATGCATGTTTTAGTTTAGTCGCTTTAATTTGTGCATGTGGTCCTTGAGCGGGTTTTGTTCCGCGCGGTGTTCACACACCTTAAAACCCAACACAACTACAAAAAGTGGCAAAGGGACCCCTTGTAAAAGACCCGTTGTACAAGTTAACGAGTCTGTTTTATAATAAAGACCTTACATTACACATAACGGGTCTGTAATATTAGGCGCTAACATTATTTTTCGCGGTGTTAAATAAGAAGGTAATATAAAAGACCTGTTGTTATTCACAACGGATCTCTTAAGTAGATACTTGGTGTTAGGTACAATAGGTCTCTTACGTCACTTCATGAAACAACCAACAGTATTTAAAGTAAAAAAAATTGATGTATTACAGAATTTGAATGCCGCCTCATGACGCTAATAGTTAAAGTTAAAAGAAAATAAATAATAAAATGATTTTCTACAGAATTCCATTGCCGCCTCTTGTTTTCCATTCCCTCCAAAATTCCTACCCAAAATAAACCCTCTTTAATTTTTCATTAATTTGATTACCGCCCCTCAATTTTTCATCTCCACACCTCCACCAAGAACGAGAAGCTGATCGGATTTCCATCTCTTCCACCATTGGATTTCTGATGCGTCTCAACAATCCGTGCTCTGATTATCAATAGTGTACTCTATCTGATCCAACCTCAATGAAGAGATGTGTATCAGGACTAACCAATCCGGTGGAAATCCAGGGGAATGAAGGGAATCCACGAGGAGATGATAAATACAAATAATTGAAATAATAGAAGGAAGAGAGACAGAGAGAGAAAGAGATAGAGAAGGAAGGATTGATTATATTGCTTAATTTCTATTACAGCCTACTGGTAGCTTATATAACATAACAAAAAAGCATAAACAACTCACTATTTCCTAATAACGGAATTGCTGAAATCAAGGAGAGTTTGTTAGAAAATATTCTTCTTCTAGAATCTGTCATGCCAGCTCAGCAGCTTTGTTAAGCTTCCTTCCTTTCCCTTCTGTGGTCATGTGCATTGCACGAGCACTCACATCAATGCCCTCCTCTTGAGCTGAT